CAACAGGTTACTACAGGTGTATTTAAAAGCTGTACTAAAAGGGATACTACGGGGGTACAAACAGGTGTACTAAAAAGGTGTACTACATGTACTACAGGGGTACTACGGGGGTACTACAGGGAAACTACAGGGGTACAAAACGGGTTTAAACAGTGTCCTACAGGGAAACAACGGGGGTTTTCTACAGGGGCCCCCGGTTTTTTAATTACGGGTGAAACTAAAAGGTTTACTACGGGAGCACTACAGGGGAAATTACAGGGGTACAAACAGGGGTACTACAGGGGTACTACGGGGGGTCCCTAATAAAGTCCCCCCCCACTGATTTGTAAAAATGATACTTTAAATCCAAGCCATTAGAACAATAGTTGCATGATCATTGTTCTAGTTACAAATGGTCTAGAAAGGGACCCCAAACCCCTAGTTCGAAAAAATTTTTTTCTAATTTTGGGTTATTTTTTTGAAGGAGCAAAATTTTTCCCACGATAATGGCTGCCCTTTGGTCGAGATCATATTTACCTTGTGTAAACCCCGCGAAATTCCTCGCCACGCACCAGCCAAAAGCCCAGAAAATCAATAAAAGGCGTTGAAAAACCCCAAAATTAGGGGGGAACCCCAAAAGGGTTTTTTGCAATCGGGCCCCAACAACATGGACCCTTTAAAAAATAACCCTGAGCCGGAATTGTGTATACCTTCCCGGGGTTTTTGGAGATTTTTTAAAACCCCCTCGCATCCTGGCCCCAAACCAAGTTTTTTTTTTGCTTGACTGCCCAAATTTGGGGGCTGCCCTTTGGGCCGGGCCCACATACACTCACAGCTGGTTGATCGGGCCCAACTAAAGGGGGGGGAAAGGTACTTTTTCCCTTCTTGAAAATTCCACCTTGTTTCAAATTTTCCCTGAGATCTGCTGGTAGCGCTGAATACCCTTTAAAGGGGGGACAAAAGGGAAAACACAGTTTTTCTCAAAATTACCCCCCACGGTGTGCCCTGCGGGCCCAAAGGACCCACCTTTACATTTCCCTTTTTTCTACCCCTCCACTTGGGGTGTCTTTCGAAACTTGGGGATTTGAAAACTAGTGCCTTAAAGATTTTATGTTTCAATGTAGGGTACTTACTCCCTTTACCGAGAAAATTCCCAGTTTCTGGGGCCCTTTCACAGTATTTAAAATTTTTTATTGACTCTTTACGAGCAGTAACTATATCTTTTCCACCCCTGAGATCTCTCCTGTCCTAAACGGAGGGGTCAGCAACAAACAATTTTTCTAAATGAGAGAGGACAAGTAAATCTGAACGGTGTCATTAAGTTTGGTTCTCTTGTTTTGGGAAAGTCCTCATTATGAAATCCTGCCCATTTATGGGGGCCTTCGTGACAATTATTTTTTAATTGTATTCTTTAAGTAAAAGGTCATATGACATTATATATACAAGTAAGGCCCAAATTTTCCCTTTTTATGCTTCAGATGTTTTCGGGCCTGTTTTTTTTCCCCCATTTTTTTTCTGATTTTCATTTTTTCCCAAATTTTTTGGGGCATTTAAAAATTTGTAAACCTATTCCCCACCCATTTTAAATTTTTCTGTTTCCTGCTATCTTAATTTGCAAATTTTTTTGTCCAGCAGAGCAACCCCTTTTTTGTTTATCTTTTATGAAAACGTGTTTTGGGAAATATTTGTCTTTTAATGTTTTTTTACAAAAAATCAAAAGGGGGCGAACACCAGTGTTTTTTGAGTTTAATCAATGGAGGGATTTGCAAAAACCGACCCAGCTCATCATGTGCCCCTCCGTGTTATTGGAACAACACACCCTTTTACTCTCGTCTTTCCCTGGTGCAAGTACATTCGTTTTTTTTTATTCTAGTGGCAAACACAACCTGTTTCTCCTGCTACTTTCATTACATTGATCCACGGGATCGGTAGCCCCCACCGAAGTAAACGGTTGGTGAGAAGGGGGTTGCGCCCCTTAAGGTTTTAACTTAGTGGAGGTGAAACCCTCATACCCAAACCCTGGATTTTTGTTCCAAGTTAGTTTTATTTTGTAGTACTGTTGACTACACTGCCGCGGGGGCACCGCCACCTCGTAGTTTTTTTCCCCTTTGTCGTATGACGGGGAGACCTTCATTTTGTGTCTACCCCTCGTGTATAAAGGAAAAGCAAGTAACTATAAATTGTAAGACAAACAACTTAACCTATTATGAAAAAGCAAGTACAAATAAAGTGTAAGACTACAATTTAACCTTCTCGAAAAACCTTAGGACTTAGAGTTAGAGTTAGCGTGGGGGTTTAGGGCATGGGGTGGGGGCGACCTTGACGGGGGAGCTTACATATAAATAAAATCTTAATTTTTTAAAGGGGTGGACGGTAAGCCAGTAAAAGGCCTCAGTTATATGGCCCAAAAAGCCCATTTGCGGGCCCAATCGAATGACAAAACCCCCCCGTGCAGGAAACACTTTCCTATTTTCTGACAAATTTTTACCCAACCTAACCGCCCCCCTGAAAAAATTTACTCTGACAACTGAAACTCTGCAACTGGCAGACTCCCGTCATCTCACGTCATTTTTCCCCTCAAAAATCAATGTTTATTTTGATCCAGATTTCTACAAATTTTTTTGTTCGAAGTCCCAAGAGTTACTTTTATTTCCCCTCACGAGGGTTTTTAAAATCAACCCCCCGTCAAACTAAAGAACTGGGGCCAGTTTGTAAATTTGTTTGGTGTTGTAAATTTTTGGTGTGTGCCAATTTTTGGGGTGTGTGCCAATTTTTGGTGTGGGCCCCAATGTTTGGGGGTGTGCCAATTTTTTGGTGTGTGCCAATTTTTTGGTGTGTGCCATTTTTTGGTGTGTGTCAATGTTTGGTGTTTTGTCAATTTTTGGGTGTGTGCCAATGTTTGGGGTGTGGCCCAATTTTTGGTGTGGGGAAAATTTTGGGTTTTGCCAAGTTTGGTGTGTGCCAATTTTTTTGTTGCCAATTTTTGGGTTTGGGCCAATGTTTGGTGTGTCCCAAATTTTTGGGGTGTGTCCAAAGTTGGGGGGTGTGTCAATTTTTTGGTGTGTCCCCAATTTTGGGTGTGTGCCAATTTTTGGGGTTGTCCCAAAAGGTTTGGGGTGGGGCCCAAAAAATTGTTGGTTTTGGCCAATTTTTTGGGGGTGTCCCAAAATGTTTTCAGTGTTTTTTCCCAGTCTTTTAAATCACATAGAAAAAATTTTTTTCCACACTTTTTCTTGGGGTCGAAACGGGTTCCCCTGATCCCCTTAAAGTCTTTTTCGTAATTTTAACCCTAACCTAACCTAACCTAACCTACCCCTAGCCAAAACCTAACCTAACCAAAACCCAACCCAACCCCAAACCAAACCCTAAACTAACCTAACCAAACCCCAAACCCCTAACCAACCTAACCAAACCCTAACCAAACCTAACCTAACCTAACCTAAACAACCAAAACCTAACCAAAACCTAACCTAACCTAAACAACCTAACCTAACCGAACGTAACATAACTTTAACGAAAACGAAAACGAAACGTAACGTAACGAAACGTAACCAAACCTAACCTAACCTAACCAAAACCAAACCTACCTAACCTAATAAAGAAAAAAAACCCTGAAATTTAAATTTTTTTTCGTCTTACACTATATATAAAAAATATAAAATATAAATATTTTAAAATTATAATAAATAAATAATATATATAAAATATATATATATATATATATATATATATAATATATATATATATATATAAAATTGGTTTTCAATGTTCATTTGAACACAGTGCACAGTGGTGTGTGTGCACCACTAGTCACTCCACTGATAAAAATATTGTATGTTGGTATCCTTAACGGGAGGAATGTTGGAGGAGCATGCAGGACAGAGGGGAAAAGAGGGGGAAGGTGTTCCAGGTTTACCCTCACCTGGCAATACTGTTGTAGTGCTTCCAGGTGTGATGTGTAACTCACGTTGGCTGTCACTTTAAACTCACTTGTACAATATTTCACTTATACAACTTTGTATAGAAGTATCACAGGAGACCACTGAGCCCCCTGGTTACTATTATACTGGTAACTCGTCACGTGTGCCTCGTCACCCTCAACATAGACCTCAACATAGGACCACAACATAGAAGGATAACACGATCCCCAGGGACCAACACAGAAGGTTAACATGACCCCCAGGACCCAGCACAGGTTAACATGACCCCCAGGGTCCAACATAGGTTAACATGACCCCCCAGGGCCCAACACAGGTTAACATGACCCCCAGGGCCCAGCACAAGTTAACATGACCCCCAGGGTCCAACATAGGTTAACATGACCCCCAGGACCCAGCACAGGTTAACATGACCCCCAGGGTCCAACATAGGTTAACATGACCCCCAGGGTTCAACAGGTTAACATGACCCCCAGGGCCCAGCACAGGTTAACATGACCCCCAGGGTCCAACATAGGTTAACATGACCCCCAGGGCCCAACATAGAAGATAATTATGACCCCAGGACCCAACATAGGTTAATATGACCACCAGGGTCCAACATAGGTTAACATGATCACCAGGGCCCAACATAAGTTAACATGACCCCCAGGGCCTAACATAGAAGATAAACATAACCCCCAGGACCCAACATAGGTTAACATAACCCCCCAGAGCCCAACATAGAAGCTAAACATGAGCCTCAGGACCCAACATAGATTAACATGACCCCCAGAGCCCAACATACGTTAACATGATCCCCCGGGGTCCAACATAGGTTAACATGATCCCCAGGCCCCAACATAGGTTAACATGACCCTCTGGGCCTAACACAGAAGATAAACATGACCCCCAGGGCCCAACATAGAAGGTAAACATGAGCCACATGGCCCAACATAGAAGGTAAACATGAGCCACATGGCCCAACATAGAAGGTAAACATGAGCCACATGGCCCAACATAGAAGGTAAACATGAGCCACATGGCCCAACATAGAAGGTAAACATGAGCCACATGGCCCAACATAACACAGGTGTCACTTACCTTTTGTAAAACAGATTCTGTTAATTTTTCTCTGTTTATGATCTTGATCGCGACTCTCTTACCCGACACGCACTGTACCCCCAGCTTTACCAGACCTGCAGCAGGAGGAACACCTGTTAGTACACACCTGCACACACCTATGTTAGTACACACCTGTGTTAGTACACACTTGCGTTTATACAAACCTGTGTTAGTAAACAGCTGCACATATGTATGTTAGTACACACCTGTGTTAGTACACACTTGCACACACCTGTGTCAGTAGACCTGCACACACCTGTGTTAGTAGACCTGCACACACCTGTGCCCTGTACACCTGCACAAAACCTGTTAGTACACCTGAAACACCCTGTGTTTTAGTACACACTGCACAACCATTTCAGTAACACCATGCAACACACCTGTGCAGTAAACCTGCCACACACCTGTGTCAGTACCCCTGCACACATCTGTGTCAGTGCACCTGCACACACTGTGTCGTAGCCTCACACACCGTGTCATACACTGCACACATCTGTGTAGTAACTGCACACACCATTTCATGTACACCTGCACACACCTATGTCAGTAAACTGCACACCACATGTCTCAGTACACTGCACACACCTGTGTCAGTACTACCTGCACACTACCATGTCAGTCACCTGCACAACCTTCGTTATGTACTCTGCAGACACCTGTGTCAGTACACCTCACACACCTGTGTCAGTGCACCTGCACAACCTGTGTCAGTACACACCTGCACACACCTGTGTCATGTATACACCTGCACAACCTGTGTCTGTAACACCCTGCTACACACCTGTGTCTAGTACACCTGCACACACTGTGTCAGTACTGACCACTGTGTATAGTCAACACCCTTGTTCAGTTCACCAGCACACACCTGTGTCAGTACACCTGCAGCACACCTGTTGTAGTACACCTGACACAACTGTCAGTAACACTTCACACCTGTCAGTACCTGCACATGTGTACACTCACACACTCTGTGCAGTGCAATGCACACAGCGTGGTCAGTATCCTGCACACACTTGTGTCAGTACACCTGCACATCGATGTCGTACTACGTCTAAACACCTCTTCGAGTACACTACATCATTGTCATCACCTGCACTGGTCAGGGGGTAGGAGACAGCGCTGTGCAGGTATTGAGGGTACATTTGGGGTCGTGTCTGGATATCTCGTATAAGGAAGGGTTTGGACTCATGGGGTGGGGAGTGGGTGGGGGATGCGTATGTAAAAGGTAGACATTACGAAGATTAGATGCTTTAAGTAGAGAGTAGAAGATAAGAGCGTATAGAAGATACAGTGTCTATAACACTCAACAGACATTGAACGATTAAGTAATTAAAAAGTTAGACATTACTGGTATATAAGATGGTAGTATGACACATGAATAGAACGTATACGTATTGAAGATAGAGTAATCTTGTACTAAGTAGAGAGATAGTAAGGACTAGTAGGATAGAAGTAACGAGATTATCAGAGATAGAGAAGATAGAGATAATGAGATATAGAGATAAGAGATATAGAGATAACGAGACATAGAAGATAAGAGTAATAGAAGATAAGAGATATCAAGGTAAGCGATATCAAATAAAATTAAACGAGATGACTAGAGATAATAAAATTAAGAGAATCAGAAGATAAGTATTAGTAACATAGAGATAAGCAGAATAGATAGAGCATATGACACGATAAGAATATAGAAATCTAAGAGATTAATGACTACTGAGATATAGATAGATAAGAGATATTAAAATAAGAGAGATAGCAAGATAAGAGATATCGGAAAATATTGAGATCTCATGAAAAACTAGCTCACACCATAAGAGATTAGACACTCAGAGATATACGATAATAAGATACGACGATAAAGATAAGAATTATAATACAGAGATTAGCATACAATCATAGATAAGAGATTATCGAAATTTAAGATAAGAGATAGTGATAAGAGAATAGATAAGTATATAGAATAAGTGAGATGCAATCACATCTAGATAGATACAGCTACGATATAGAAGATAAGATAGATAGAGATAGCTAAATATGAAGATAAACTCTAATAATAAAGATCAAGATAAGCAACTATCGAAGATAAGAGATATCAGATTAAGCAGAGATCAGATTTAAGACGATAATCAACGATAAGACGAGATAGACGTAAGAGATATAGAGTATAGAAAAATTCAAAGATAAGAGATATAACGATAAGAATATAGAAGCTAAGAGATGAAGTAGAACTTAAGATAGAGATATAAAAGATAAGAGAATAGTAAGACAGAGAGATAGATAAGAGATTAAAAAGAAATAGAATAAGAGATATAAAGATAAGATATATAGACATAAGAGCAGATAGAAGATAGAAATAGAAGTAAGAGAATGAAGATAAGAGATATAAGATCATAGAGAGATAGCATGTACGAAAATAGAGATAAGAAATAGAAGATAGAGATATAGAGATAAGAATATAGAAGATAAAGAGATTAGAAGATAAGTAATACTAATATAAGAAGAAGACATAAGATATGAAGATATAGAAGATACTACAGCAGAATAGAAGATAAGAAATAGAAGATAAATCATAGAAGATAAGATTAAATTAGATCTAGAATATCGAAGATAAGAATATCGAAGATAAGAATTAGAAGATAAGATGATATATCAAGATAAGAAATAGAAGATAAGCAACTTGAAGATTAAAGAGATAATAAGAATATGCATCATAGAGACTAGAAGACTAAGATAATAGAAGATAGATATATAGAAGATAGGAGATAAAGATAAGAATATAGAAGATCAGGATAGAACGTCAACATATCAGAAGTAAGAGCAATAATAAGATCTAAAGATCATATCAAATCATCGAGCTAACCAGATAGAAATCTACAAACTAAGAATCATCGAAGATAGGATAACTCATCACACCCACACTCCTCACCTTCTAAAATCCTCACCTTCAGATCATCACTCTCCACACCTCGACCTCACACACTATCACACTATCCTATCAAACGACTCCTCACCATCAACTCCTCCTCACCTCTCTCACTCCTACCTACCACACTCCTCACCTCTCATCACTCCTCACATCTCAAACTCACTTACACTCCTCACCTCATCACACTCCTCACCTCACACACATCCTACCTCTACACACTACCACATCACACCACGCTCTCACTCTCACTCTCACATCTCACAACTCACAAACTCACTCACCCTCAAACACCTCACTACATCAACTCCACAACTCACACACTACACCTCATCCTCACCATCTAACACTCTACCTACCACACCCCACCCTCACTACACATTCACACACAATCTGCATACTCTCACATCCACCTCACTCAACACTCCTCAACCGTCTCACTCCATCACCTCATCTCACTCTCACCCTCACGCTCACCTCTACAACCTCACCTCTCTCAACGACCTCACTCTCATCCACACCTCACATCCTCACCTCTCACATCCTCACCTCTCTCACTCACCATCTCTCACTCACTCACCTCCACACTCCACCTCTCACACTCTCACCTCTCACACTCACCTCTCAACCCTCCACACTCCTCACCCCTCACCACCACCTCCTCACTCATCACTCTCACTCCATCACCCTCCACTCCCACCTCATCACATCTCCTCCCTCTCCACTCTCACCTCTCACATCCCACCTCTATACCACCTCTCCTCACTACTCACACCTCCAACTCCTCACTCTCACACTCCTCCCTCTAACACTCCTCACCTCTCACACTCCTCACCCATCACACTCTCACCTCTCACACCCTCACCTCTTACACCTCACTCTCATCACTATCACCTCTCACACTCCTCACTCTAACACCATCACTCTCACAATCCTCACCTCTCACACTCTCACACTCACACACTCTACCTCTACACTCCTCAACTTCACACTCCTCACCTCCAAACTCCTCACCTCACACTCTCACCTTCATCCTCACCTCTCACACTCCCATCACACTCATCATCCACACTCACTCACCTCTTACACTCTCACTTCTCTCACTCTCACACTCACAGTCACACTCCTCACTCTCATCCTCACTCTCACACTCTCACCTCTCACATCCTCACTCTCACACTACCAACCTCTCACACTCCTCACACTCTCACATCCTCACTCTCAATTCCAGCTCCTCACCACCTCACACATCCTCACTCTCACACACCTCACCTCTTACACTCTCACTCTCACACTCCTCACCTCACAAACCCTCACCTCTACAATCTCACCTCTTCAACCTCACCCCCACATTACCTCTCACACTCCTCACCTCTCACACTTCACCTCTCACATCCTCACCTCTACACTCCTCACTCTCACATCTCACCTCTCACACTCTCACCTCTTACACTCCTCATTAATCTCACCTCTCAAACTCCTCACTCTCACACTCTCACTCTACACTCTCACTCTCACACTCCTCACCTCTCACACTCCTCACCTCTCACATTCCTCACCTCCTACATCCATCGTCTACTCCTCACCTCTCACATCCCACGTTTCACTCCTCACTTCCACTCTCACTCTCACACTCCCACCTCCACACTCCTCACCTCTCACATCTCAACCTCTCACACTCCTCACCTCTCACATCCTCACCTCTCACATCCTCACTCCCACACCCTCACACTCTCTCACACTCCTCACCTCTCTACACTCTCACTCTCATCACCTCACACTCCTCACCTCTCACAATCTCACCTCTCTCACCCTCACCTCACACCTCACCTCTCTCACTCCTCACTCCAACTCCTCACCTCTCACACTCCTCACCTCTCTCACTCCTCAACCCTCACACACTCTACACTCCTCACATCCTCACCTCTCACACTCTCTCACCTCTCACACTCCTCACCTCTCACCTTCTCAACTCTCACACTTCTCTCACCTCTCTCACTCTCACCCTCACAACCACTAAACTCTCCACTCCTCACCTCTCACACTCCTCACCTCTCACACTCCTCACCTCTCACACTCCTCACCTCTCACACTCCTCACCTCTCACACTTCTCACCTCTCACACTCCTCACCTCTCACACTCCTCACCTC